GCCTGGGAAAGGAAGAAGACTGGCGTAAGAATCCGGAAGGCCCCCTCCGTTCGAGGACCAGATGGCACCGATGCCCATCTCTGTCTATTACAGCCAGCCAAACCCATCAAGATCTCCGCAAATCTTTCATGCCGTTTTTAGCGACCACCGAGGGACGTTTGGCATCCCGGGAGGGTCCACAGACGTTGGCCAGAAGTCCAATAAACCCGTCACTATCCAAAAGGACCGTGTGCCAAAAGGGTTTAAAGGAGACTCTGGCCGTTCTCGCGCGTACCATGCAGCCTCCAGAGAATGTAGAGAGGGGGGAAGGTGTCGGGATCGGAACTCAGCACGTCCCAGAGTAAGCGTACGTTGACGAAAGGGCCCTCCGGAGTCGGCGCCTTAGGGAAAAAGAAAAGGAAAGCTGAACAGTTGAGTTTCTCAACCTTGGGAAAATCTTTTAAAGGCAGGTAGACGTCAATTCCCAGAATCCCCCCCCAGCCTGCAGCCTGATTCTGTTCCTTGTTTTGAGGGGAGGTGTGCGGGAAGGGACCCCTCGAGGTCATCCAGTCCATCCCCCCGCCTCCCACGAAAAAAGGCCATACTCAAAAATCCCCCCCCGAGATGGACCTACATCCCAATTTCTGTTTTCTTCTGGGATGTCCTTGAGGCGCCTTCTCAACCTCGCCTCCCTCGTGCGGGAGGAGAGTCGTGTTACCTGGGAGGGCGCCTGGACGTGCTTGGAAGCCAGGAGCAGCTGGGGCAAGCCGCTGCAGAGGCCCAACCGCTGGAAATACCAGACCAGGTTCCAGTAGATGATCGGATGATTGTCCACCAACTCGGGCTGAGATAGGAAGACGGCTCCCTCGTTCTCCAGGAGGGTCTCCAGCTCTTTACGCAGGACCAGGGGGCTGAGGTAGGCGAAAGCCAGCTGTTCCACCCGGGCGGCGGGACCCTGAGGCAGCTGGGAGGAAAAAAAAGGACGGGTTCTAATTCCCCATCAGCCCCAGCCCATCCCCAGGAACATGGGAGCTGTAGTCTCCAGACTCCGGGAAGAAGGATCCAGTTAACGTTGCATTCTAATTCTAATTCTTCTTCATCCTCCTCATTTAACGACGCTACTTGTGGGGCCAGAGACTCCCGTTGTTAAGCCGCGTGGCCACAGATCAATAAGACACGGACCATCCGGTTGAGCAATGGCAGTTCAGGAAGTCCCGGTTGTCTTTAAACAAGGACTGCGGAAGGTCATTTCCGCGAGGACCTCCTGTGACTGCAACCTTCGACTTCCTACAGTCTTCCCCATTGATCTGGCTTGTGGGAAGCTGGCAGGGAAGGCTGCAAAGACGGTAAGATGCCGCAATGGCTGTTAAGTACGAAGTCTGGCTGCAGCTACCGTTCATTCAGCGCCGTCGTAAGTTCGAACCGTCGCCGAATGAGTTAAACGAGTTTCTATTTCTCTTCTATTCTGCACCCTCCGCTTTTCTTCGAACCTCCTCCTGAGGCTCAAAAACAACCCGCCCGGGCTACAATCTCGCTGCATGCACTGGGGAAGACTGTTGAAGTATTCATGACTGGGAGAGACATGGGAACAAGGCCAGCCAATGAATAGGCACAGCAACAAAGTCAATCCATGGGAGCTTAAAACAGATCTGAACCTGTGCAGAGGATTGAAACAGAAACTTAAGAAGGAAGCAGTTCTGCTGCTCTGAGAAGTAAACTAGCAGTCGGTCTGGCCTTATCTACTGATATGAAACTAATCGTTTGTGTTTGCCTGTAACTCTCCTGCCTTGTGTTCACTTGGAAGAATCATCTGTTGGTATTGTATATTTATTCCTATATTCTTATGTATATAAAGAAGTTAACGAATCCAGCTGAATCAGTTATCTGTGTGTGATTTCTAGATTTGAATTTATGCAACCAACTCTGAGAAAGACAAAAACCCCTCTACGAGCACTAGAAACTTAATTCTCCAAAGGAAGGCCAGGACAGGCACCTACGTGTTAAAAAGCCGTGCTGTTTTACAACAAATTTGCTACCCTTCCTTCAGAAACGAGTCTCTGAAACGG